TTTGCCTGAAGCGGAGGCCAAAAACGCGATTTTCAGAGGCACACAGAGTGCGTAGAGGCGTAGAGAGACTGTGAGACCTAATCATGGAGTGCTACGGGGATGGCTGTGTTGCTGTGTGCCTGTTGACGGCGTCAGAATGTCATCAGTGGGGCGGGAGTTGGAGGCCGTCCATAGGGAATGGAGGTAGTGTGAAGATTGGGGTTGTGGTGAGGATGGAAGTGGTTTTCAGCTGAGGTCGTAGGAGAGGTCCGGTCGCGGGAACGCGAGCGGTCCCGGTGGAGAAGATCGTTGTTGGCGGGTGACATGAGGTTGTGGCAGTGGAAGAAGAAGTGCTGTGAGGAAGTTGCTTGTGTGTGGAGGAAAGCGGGCGGTTGGATCCAGGCGATAGTGGCCGGGGTGAGCCAGGCAGGAACTGCAACAAGCGGCGACCTTGAATGAGGCCGAGGGTCAGCGATCCCAAGCGGAAAAGGGCATTCCGAAATTGAAGGAAAAGGCGGTAAACGTTTTGATCTGTGAAAGAACTTTGGCGTGGCATGGGATCGTTCACGATGGGGTGTTGGAGAATGCCGGTGACCAGAGTTTGTAAGGTGTTCAACATCCAATGCAGGAGGAGGAGCTCGGGTTGGTGGGTGGGTCACTGATGGTGCCAAATACGGCGTAGGGTTGCCTGGTAGGTTATAATGCGCTGCAGGAACCGGTGGTGGGGGCGGCTCGCGTGGTGTGGTGTCCGGCTTAAGTGCAATACCTGATGTGGGATCATCCCTCTGCTTCCTCAAGGGCACGGATAGTGGCCATCAAGCGCTGTTCAAAAGTGGACATCAGGTACGAGTGAGCTTCGAAACACAAAACTGCAGTGAAGGCATGAAATACACAGAGCCATGTCTGTCCTGACTGGTGAAAAAAGATTCAGCTACATCATAGTGTGGTGACTGAAATCAGTGGAAAGCGCATGAAAATCCGCGGAGAGTTTTCCGGAGGCGTGCCGTGAGAGCTGGGGTGAAACATGATCACAGAAAATCCGCCCGCGCCGGAGGTGCCGAGGGCGTTGTGTAGGCTCGCACATTTTTCTCCTAGAAATGCTGTGTTTTTCAATTTTTTGAAAACTGACCAAAATTGGACCAGACGTTGGCGATGCCGGTTATGCCGGTCGGGACAGATCGCATTATTGACATCGCAGACGTCTCGGCAAGCCAAGGGCACTGCACTATGGATATGCGATGCCGGTTATGCCGGCCGGGGGAGACTGCGTTATGGACATCGCAGAAATCGCAAACGTCTAGGCAAACCGCGGGACACTGTACGATTGATATCGTGGATGTGTTCGGTCTGTGCACAGGTTGCGATCTGTGCGGGCGGCTTCGACCGCGAAGCGGTGTGAATAACCACCGATGCTCCTATCTGTGAGCTGTTCATCTTCACTAGCAGTAGCGGCCGGCCGCGCAGCTGCAGCAGGAGGTTCCGGGTGGAGGAGAAATCCGGCTCAGAGAGTTGTTGGGGAGCAGTGTTGGCCGGAGATGTAGGAGAGTGCAGTATTGCTGGAGAGTGTGCGGGTGGAGGAGAAGGTGTAGGGACTTGTTGATCCATGGAGGTCTTGAATCTCGTTCCAACGAGCTTTGCACTGTTCCACTGAAAATCCCACCCTTCGGGCGACGTATGTCCAGTTCGGACGAAGGTGTGGATCGGTTTTGAGTTCCACGAGACGACATTCGGCGTCTGCGTCCCAATCATCCCAATTTGCATCAGTGTGCAGGGGTGGAGGTGCTTGTCGTTTGGAGCGATTGTGACGCCAAGGTGGTGGAGAGGGGAGGGTGTGTCGGGAGTTGCTGGACGATCAGGAAACGGAGGAGAATGCCGTGGACGTGGAGGAGGTGTGTCACAGGAGGAGGTGGAAGAGGGAACTGGGAGTGGACGAGGTGGAGGTGTTGGCAACGGTGGAAAAGGACGGTGGAAGTGTGAAGCGACTTGTCCAGTGTGGATCAAGTAAGGTTGTGAAGGTCTCCCACATGTCGGTGGCTTGCTGCAAGAGATGGTGAAGTTGTTAAGAGCCACTGTAGTACGTTGAATGAGACCTGGGAGGCCTGTGTCGTGGTTCATTGCTTCTGGTCTAGTCGTCAGCGGCGGCGGCAGCAGCGGCAGCAGGGACGGCGCGACACTCATGAAGCTGAAAAGATCGAATTGCGCGCAGTGTGGCGTTGAATTCCATGGAGCCACAAGGATGAAGTTGGTGGAGGTCAATTCTGCGAACAAAACCAAGCAGAAACTTCCAGTCAAAAAGGTTCACATCAACAATCTCAACCGTCTCAAGCCTTCGGAAGATAGCCCTGAAACCTTTGGCAAGTAAGCTGCCTCATGTACTGGTATACTGGCTGTGGATCAAATTGGCGGCGGACATGCATGGAATTTGAATTACGCGCAGCGGCGTGCGCAAACGACAAGGATTTTCCTTGGAGCGGCTGGTATGTGTGGTATGGTGAGACAGGAAAGGTGAAAGTAGGCCGGTGAGGTGGAGTGGAAGTAGAGGTGGCAGTTATAGGAGGCGTGGCGTTGGCCGACCATGCGAGGCCTTTCACAATCGCGTTGCGAGGGTGGATGACCCAACACCGTGCGTTGTGGTCCTTGAGTAAATTTGGTGCCCGCCCCCCAGGCTAGGAGGGAAACCATCACGGATGGGTGTTCTTTGGCGTATTCCATGTGTTGTAGAGAATCCGGGCTTGTTCACTGGTGTCATGTTGGTGTTGTTGGGTAATGCGCACGCCTTGCGCAAAGAAGCCGAGGTTGTGGGAAAAGTGAAGAGTGCTAGGGAGGAATCTGCCTTGTTGTAGAATGCTTGTGATGTTGCCCGCAGGGCCAGTGTGGCTGGCGTTGAGAGGCGGAGGTGGCTCGAGTGGCTGCAGGTGGAAAGCGCCGGTGCGCTTTGTGGGAGAGTGAGGGGATGGAGATGTGGTTGAAGTGGAGAAGGTCATATTGTTGGGATGTGGGGTTCCACTTGATGTGTGAATTGGCGGTAGTCGCGCACGTCGTTGTAGGTGTGGCGAGGTTTGTTTGGAGTGTCGAATTGTGCCGCGTGATAGTCCATCCAAATTTTGAGCTGTTCTTGTGGGGTTTTCTGGCTGAAAAGTGGTGGAGCTTGCCATTTGTTGGGGACCCGGCGGACACTGGGATGGTGGGGGTAGTTGGTCTGTGGATTGGCCGAGGCAGAGTCATGTTGTACGAAGTCTGTGTTGGGAACCAGGGAAATGAGGCTGGTCGTGAGTGGCTGCGCGACAGAGAGCGGCTGCGTGAGTATGAAGAATATGCGTAGGAGGAGGAATGGTGGCGGCGTGAAGATGTGTGAGTGTGAGAGCTGCGTGGAGTTCTGTGGCTCGAGTGGCGTCCCGAGTGGCCTCTCCGGTGGTGGTGCCGACGGCGTCGGCGGCCATGCTGACGGCGGCGGTGATGCCGTCTGTGTGTTGGATGTGATGGTGGTGGGTCTGTGGGGTGTGGTATCTGCTGCGTCGGATTGCGCTGATCCTGCTGGAGTGGATGGTGGTGGCTTGGTTGTGTCTGTCGTGGCTTCGGTGGAAGGTTGTGATGGAAGAGCGGGAGGTCCGGTAGAGTTCAGTGAAGCTGAAGCGGTGGCTGGTGCTGTGGGTGCAGGTGCGGCTAGCCGCTGGTGTGGCGGCAGCAGCTGAGGGGTCTGATTGAGTTGAGTCTTTGTCAGCTGGTGGGAAAACTGAAAAGGGTTGTTGTTGCCAGACACCTTGCTGCGGGTCCCATGAGAGAGTGGTAGCAAGCTGTGTGGGTTGATTGGGTGGCGAAGGAATTGTAATGGGTGTGGGATGTGGTATCACTGTGGGTGGTGGAGAGGAAATGGGCATAGTCATAGTCGCAGGTTCCGGTGTGGGAAAGTTGTAGGTGACAGGAAAGGTAGGTGTTGAATGTGGAGGTGGAAGAAGAGATGGCGGGAGTGTTGTCTGAAATTGAGGTGGGACTGTAGGTGGCCATGTTGGCTGTGGTGGCATGGTTGCTGGAGGGCAGTGTGTAATCGCTGGTGGCAAATGCTGTGGGATGGTGGTGGAGTCGGTTGAGGTGGTGGTGCATAAGGATACGGCCAAGGAAACCTGCGGTGGCAATCGTCTGTTGCAGCTGCAAGTATGGCGCCAGCGCAGCGGATCCGCAGCTGAAAACAGGAAGAAATGAACGTCGAAAAAATGGAAGTCAAGTTGTGAATGACAGAAAACTGCATGGGAGGAACTTAGTGAAGTTGGAGCTGGAACGTCCCTGGTCATAAACTGGTCAGGGTTGAGAATGTGGTACTGTACACGCTTGAAATTGAAAGCCAGCTGCGAAAATCATGAAACACATGCAACACAAACATGGAAGTGGAGTCCGTGAATTCCGTGAAGCCCGGCGGCGTAAAGTGCAGAGAATACAAAGGTGAGACTAAATCGGTTAAGAGAATCAAAAGTAAGGTGGAAACGGTGAAGTCTGTTAGTGAAAGCAGCGCCTCCTTGCGGAGGATCACACCCAGCGCCCAAGTGGGACGACTGAGCGAGTCACACTCTGACATTGGTTTTCAGTTAATTCAATTCCCAACTTGGAAAAAAAGCGATGGAACCGCAAGGTGAAGTGTCCAGGCATTTGAAGGTGTTTGAACAAATTGTTTTCAAGAAGCTCGCAAACACTCTCGCGGAAAGCCGCCGTGACTGATCAGCAGCGGTGGGAAAAGTTTTGGGGTCTATCGTGTGAACAACCATGGAAGCAAACCACAGCGCAGAAAGATTGGAGTAGTGTCACGCTGCAGGTACAGGATCAAGCGTCCTTGACCCCTTCCCATCTGTGGTTGTAGCTTCGTTGCGTGCAGTGGACCACAGATGCTGCACGCCGAACATGCCAACGCGAGCAACATTCTGATTCTGATTATGTCATTTTGTCTGACTCTTTAAGTGCTGATGCAGACTTTCACATTATTCCACACTCGACCAAGACACATATACATCATGAGATGATTCGTTCTCCAGGTCTGTCGGTCCATTTCATCCTTGGCGACATCTTTAAGATTGCCCTTTGTGAGCTACGAATGCGCCTCGCCGGACTTCAGTGACACCATCGCCTATCCTGCATTGGCCCGCATGGGTACGGTGACCACTCCGGGTTTTTTGAACACGGTTCAAGCCTTGAAAGCGCAGAACGATTGGAAGCATCTCTTCGTCATTTCGGGTGACCCCGCCTACTACCAGGTGGAAATGGAGAGCTATACCCAGAGCTTTCAAGACATGGGATTCAGTGTTCAGACTCTCAGTGCTTATGAAAACCGTTGGAACGACATCGAGGGGCGAATGGCCACGGTGAAAGGCAGTACCAGCGGCATGGAGCGTGTGATCTTGGTCCTGGGTTCTGAAACCTTCTTCCGAAAGTTGATTTGCGCGTCCATCACCCAAGGACTTCAGTCCGGGATCGTTTGGCTGTCCACGGGCACCTGGAGAGGTGAGTGGTGGAAGAAGACGGACTTGCTCACATCAGCACACAGGCAATGGCTTCGAGAAGATGTGTTGGGTTTGCAACTGAAGCAAGCTTTTGCAGCCCTCAAGAGTGCCTGGGATGATTACTCACCCAGTGTGGAGACCACACGTCAGGCATTGATTGACCTCTACGTGACAGACCAGAAAGACGAGCTTCTGTCTGTGGAGGGAACACAGAAGTATCATGAGGTTCACGTCCAATATCATCCAACCTACAGGAAGAAGCTCTATGATCGTGGGTACTACGACATTTTCTTCTTCAATTTGGAGGGCGATTTGATCTACTCGGTCTTTAAGGAGACTGATTATGGCACGAACTTCAAGGCCAGTGGCTCAGGACCGTGGAAGGATTCAGGTTTGGGGCAAGCCTTTCGAGGAGCCTTGCAGGATCCTGACAACCTTACTTATATCGATTGGCAGCCCTATGGCCCTAGTGCAAATGCTCCTGCTGCCTTCTTCTCAACTGGTTTGAGGGATGAGGATGGCGTGCTCGTGGGTATTTACTCCATCCAGTTGCCACCTGAGTACGAGCGCTCCATCGAAGATCTTCAGCCCTCATGCAGCTTTGAGAAGATCACGGAAGCCTATCAGGGTGCAGTGAATGTGGCGGGTTTTGGCCGTCCCATCGAGGAGAACGCGCGCTTTTCTCGGTGCAGAGACCTCGTAAGACAGCTACCTCACACTGAACACGGCAGGTATTTCTTGCACACGTACATTCAGCTTGATGAATAACCCCCAATTGAATTGGAAGATCCTCTTCATATGGGGGCTTATGGTCCTCAAGAGTCGGATCTCATCGATTCGTTGCCGTCGTCGCGACCGCCTCGTGTTCTGTGGTGACCCATCGGTTGCCTCCAACCGCTGCACCGTATACCGGTGTTCACCTAGGGTGTTCACCATTCGAAGTAAGCTGCCTAGAAAAAGGCATGTGTTTTTTCCGTGGGGTGGTGGCGAACTCCTTATGCCTCTTTTCTTTTTTAGTGATGTTTCCTGGGAATTGGAAGTGAATTCCTTACAAGTACAAACCATCGTGCCTCCTTTCCAGGAAAACATTGAGAAGCCTTTGCCATGCTTCAAAGGCTACAGTCCCCGGAGCTTTCTATCCTTGCTGGCCCTACGCTTCGACACTGGCTACCCTGTAGGAGAACTGAGCACGCGAGTTGAGGACCCCTACGTGGATGTGAAGGCTCATGCCGTCGATGCCACCTGCGCCTTCGCCTTTGGCATCCAATACCTCCTTCGACAGGGCCACAGCGTGGAGCAGATTCAGAGGAGAGATCCAGAGGTCTACAGGAAGTTTTCCGAGTACCTCCGAACGGAATTGGACTTCGAGGGGACTTCTGGGCAAGTGAAGTTCGAAGGCAATGACCGGAAGAACTTGCAAGTGGTGCAGCAAGTGGTCAACGGTGTCATTCTGGACATGGGCCTGATTAGTGAGAATGGCACTAGCATCACGTGGATTAGCAATGGCACTACAAATCTATATTGGCAAGATGAGCCTGCTGAGGCCTTGGAACTCATGTGGATCCTTCACCCGCTCGCCATGATCTTCGCTATTGGCTGCCCGTGTCTTTGTGGATGTGTACTTGGATACAGCATTAGAGCTGTGATGCAGAAGAGGAGCAATGCTCAGTGATGGAGGACTGACCAACCGCGACACTTCTAGAAGGAATCATACTCATATGGGAGTTGATCTAAAGGGGCATACAAGGGGTTTTATATGAAACGGTCTTTAGATGCTGTCTAATGGACTCCAAACCATCCACGAAAGATCCACATTTTTTTGTTCGCGAAAGTATTTTGTTTTTGAACAACTTCATGTTATTTGATGTTCATATGATTCCTTTCTACCGCCAGAATGGTAGAAATACACGGCAATTCTCCGGCAGAGCCCGTGGGCAGAAGTGTACCCACATGTCCCCCTGTCACAGACCAACGAACTGCGGTTCCTGTCGCCACTGTCACAGACTCGACTATATAACATTGTGGACAACTCGACTTGTCCTTGCAGAGCCCTGACAGTGCGTACAGGATTGTCTTTCCCCAAGTTGACTCACAAACTGCAACTGCATCACCTTGCGCAGCCTCGACAGTGAGTCAACGGCCCGCAGCTCTGACAGGTTGTGCAGATGTTTCCGCACGATATGCCTTTGAGTTTCGCAAAATATCTGCGAATGCGATCTTTTTTCCACAAAGAATGGCGATTCCATCATAAAAGAATATGGATCAACCAACAGCATACTATAGTTTTGTGAAGTTTGTGAACCAATAAACTGTGTCATTTATATCATCTCTCAAGAGGTCCCTAAATATATATACTTTGATTGAGTCCAAGGCTTTGTTTTTTGAAAGCGAAGGTTCACCTTTCTATATATCTTTTTTTGTTAGAAGAACATTGTCGTGCATCGTGCCCAGACAGTTCAGTTGCATGCATTGAACAAGATGTCGGACATTCTGCTGTTTGATGTTCGTTTTAGTCGTTCTCCTCGCTGTGGTTGCTGCTTTTGGTGAGTGAAAAGGTGTAAGGGTACGTGCGCCCGGATTCTCGGCAGGACCCCATGGGCTGAATCACCGAATGTGGATCCATCTGATGGTCGCATGCTGCTTTCTCCGATCCGTTTTGAACGGTCACGAATTCGTTTCCTGGAGAATATCGAATCTAGGTATATCCTGGAGACTCAATGGGCTGTGGGTCAGAACTGTAGGGACAACTTATTGACGTCAGAAAGTGAAGAGAATAGACTGCCAAAATTGCAACTGATTTCAACCTGCTGTTTTGCCCAGACAAACAGTTCAAATTAAATGCCTCTAAACTTTTACACTTGCACGCCCACCCCTCTCCACTCCACAAGCGGAGTAAAGGGAGGTGACCCATGTGAGCCGTTTCTGGACGTTTCTGGGCCGTCAGAAGAGTCGGAACGATTTTGGGTCGGAATGAAATAGAGGAAGTCCAACCTTTTGTGACTTTGAAACCAGGAAATTGGTGTGACACATGTGGCCCAGAGTGCCCCCTTTTTTCGCCCGCCCTGCGGGCGCCCCATGTAGATAGCATCACCCATCACCCGAAAAATAGGTAAACATCAATCAGCAGTCTTGGCAGATGCTCACATGGTGCTTGTCACCCACCCGCATCCCGCTCTGGACTCTAACACAGCAGAGCAGAGGTGCGTGATTCCCGTGGTCCTTTCGCATCCTTTTTAGTTTTTCATGTCTCCATGCGCGACCACACTGTTCAATCAGCATTGCTGAGCAATAGTCGTTGGAAGACAGGTCGTCCAGCTGGAAAACATGATTGTGAGCAGGGTGGTGGTTTGTGGCTGTTGGTGTTGTTGCTGTTGCTGTTGCTGCTGTTGCAGCTGTAGCTGCTGTTGCAGCTGTAGCAGCTGTAGCAGCTGTAGCTGCTGTTGCAGCTGTAGCAGCTGTAGCTGCTCTAGCTGCTGCTGCTGGTGTTGTTGTTGTTGTGGTTGTGGTTGTCGTTGTCGTTGTCGTTGTGGTTGTGGTTGTTGTTGTTGTCGTCGTCGTCGTCGTCGTCAGACTTTGCCATGGATGGCGCGTTTGCGCATCGGACTCAACACTCCACATCCGCCGCTGTGCTCGGCCGATGGGCTCGTTCAGGTGTCATCCTGGCTGCCTCAGCCCAGAACTTCAGGAGCTTTCGGAGGCCCATTTTTGCCGGCTCCCCGCCAGCACGCAGCAGGCGAGGGCTGAGGGTCATTCAAATTCGGGCACGAGACCCGCACGACCCACCGAGAGATGTTTTTCGCTTGCGTCTCGTCTGCGGCCGACACGAAGTGACACGCGAAAGACTCGGCTCGTGGCGGAGGCCGTACAAAGCCCAAGAACTTGGACGGTCTATGCCTGGGACCTGGACAGCCTCACCAGCGGCCTGGACGAAAGTGCCTGGACGGCACTGGCTGGGCATCGTGTGAAACTCACGGGGGCGGCGACGTGCGGTTCTTGGCGGGGCCTGGCGATGTTAAAAAAAAAACTGAAGGAGTTGTTTCATTTGTGTTCCCCGCTCAGGGCGGGGATGCCGCCATTTTTCAGAAATGTGGATGCGCCTTTTGCTCTGTCAGCGATTCCTATTGCATTTGATTCTCGAACGGAACGCTTCCATTTGGTTCCCATCGGTTCCCATCGTTCTTCCTGACAGTCCGTCCTGGTGCGGCCAGCACACCACCTACACTTGGACTCGAGGTGGGCAAGGGCGGTCCACCATGGGTGTCAACCCGAAGAATGAACTCTGTCTTAAGAAAAGGCCTTGGAATCAATCAAAGCGTATGTATTTAGCAACCTCTATATAGAGAGATGATATATGCAGTAAACGATTCACAAAACTGTAATAGAAATCTCGTTTGATGGGGCTCAAAAGCAACGCGTCAGAACTGAGACCCTTGCGACGTGTTATGTCGTTGTTGCGAGTTGTTCGAAAGAAGGGCGCGCTGTCGTTGTTCAAGTGAAGCAAGGTGAACAAATTGGAGATGTGGGAGTTGATCCAAGGGTCCATGTCTGCTTGTTCTACACAAAGATGACAGTGTGCAGTGGAGGAAGTCTTGATCAACCTGCATGTTTTGTTCTTCATGTGCTACCATGTAGCAGAACTGATCTTTGGGAATGGGTCAAACGTCCATGGTCAAACGTCCATGGTCACACAAACCAGTCCACCAGCGAGCTTGACCTCAGTCCACCCACCTCCAGCACCTCATTTCGCTCCAGGATGACCCACGTCCGGCTCCGGATGCTTTGGCCTTTGTCCGACTTCCAAAGGAGCTGAAAGAAGCTTTAAAGGCGACGTTCCGGGCGACGTTCCGGGCTGCAGCTGATTCCGGAAAATCTCGTCATGCAAGCTGTCAAGCTCGTCATGCAAGCTGAGAAACAACGGCAGATGCCACGTGCATTTGCAGTGTGTTCTTCTTTTCTAGTGTTGGACAATGTGCCAGTTCTTTGAACACATTCTTTCAACCAGTTCTTCACGTTCTTTTCCATTGATTTGTTTTCTTGATTCTTTCTTCCAAACCACCTTGGAAAGAAGCATCAAGAAACATCATGGCCCCCACTGCCCCGTGAAATTCGCCGCTTTTGCAGGTCTTGGGTCGGCCTGGTGCCCTTTGGCCTGAGCAGCTCTGCAAGGAACTGCGCAAGCAAGCCATGAAGCGCTGTGGCCCCGAGGAGACGAACTGAACAGCGGCCAGCGGCTGGTTGCATCAAGGAACGTCAGGAAAAGAGGATGAAAGGATGCATGTGTTTCAAAAGATGGTTCATCCTTTCTCTAGCTGCTAGCTTTCCCCCAGATGCAACAAACAGATACAATGAAGCAATCAAAGAATGATAATCACATATAATCACAGAGTTTTGTATTGATGAACTATTGGCCACTTCAAGGAACTGTTGTAAGTTACAAGAAATTTACAGTATATTTATTGAGCACCAGGGAGAAGTCAAACACCGTGGGGTGGCTGGACCCTAGACAAATTCGATGTGGGATTTGAGTGGGGATGAGCCGGCTTCTGCCTCGAAATTATTCAATTGGTATGCCAAGGATGCCAAACTACATTGTTGTTTTGGTTTCAAGACTGGTGGTTCACTTCAATGTGTGATGCGAGTTGCGCTACGCTTTGTTTCAAGCATCACCGACACAACATAACCGTATGTTTGCAACAGATAACTCTAAATTGATTTCCAGTAGGACAACAAGTAAACGGAGCCAGTTACTCACCTCCCAGGAGGCCGCGCTTCTTCAGAAGTTACAAAGGTGCCAGGGGCCCTAGATGACTCAAGAATTGATTCTTCTTAAGATAGACATGCCCTCAAAATGGTGCAATGGGTTGGTTGTCAAAATTCAAAGCTTTGTGGTCCCCTGATTTGGAGACAAAGATCGAAGAATGTTTGCTTTCAGGGGTGGTGGGTTGTTTAATTTTCTTGCGAAGCATGGTAGGGTTTCAGGTCTCCTGGCTGTTCTAGTGGATAGTGGGCAAAGGTTCTTTGGGTGTCAAATGTGGAAATCTTCTGTCGAACTGTGTAGACATCTTCTGCCAAGAAACGAACATGTTTCGAGAGAGTCAAGGCCCGGAGGCCTGCGCGCGTGTTTCTTCTCATTGGCCCCTCCAAAAAGGGGGGCCCTTCGGCGGCGGGCGGCCGCTGAACGCAGTGAACCAGTGAACGCAGATGCGCGGTTTTCTCTTGTTCCGAAGAAACAGCTCGCAAAAAAAGACACCAAGGTGTACAGCTGGCCACGGAGTACACCTTGAAGAGGGGATTCTATGAGGTGCTGTCTGCTGCTTTTGCACGCTACTTTTGGGCGCCGTTGCGGATTTGTCCCGGCAAAACCCATGCAACATCCATGCATCTGTGTTTCTTTTTTCAGCAGGTGAAATCAGACGGTCGCTGGGCTGGAGTGCGTCCGTTGCATCCCTGATTGACTGGCAGGTGGAAGGAGAGATGCCAGGGTACCAAAAGGTCTACATGGAAGACGTCCTGTCGCCGTCCTTGAAGGCGCCGCTGTCCAAACGAGCGCGGATTGCCAGCCACGGGTTGGTAGGGGGGTGAGCAACGCCTTTCCTCTTAGATGGAAATGAAAAGGCAAGGTTCTGTAGACGGAACCAAGCCTTTTCACAAGCCCAGAAACCCTTCTCTTCAGCAGAAGTGACACGAAGTGACACGAAGATCCAAACACGTGACATTCGCATGTTGGAACATGTTGCGGGGCGGTCACCACCGGAACACGCAAAACGTCCGATTCCGTCTCGAGGATTGGAGCCGCTCAGAAATTGTCGGTCACATGGGCGCGCGTGGCCGCCACGGTCCTCGTGCAGGTGCGCTGGTTTGGCCCAGGCAATACACAACTTCCGGAGACGAAGGTGGACATCGGCAAGGTGGCACGATGGAAAGACACGAGTTGCCGCAGGAAATGTCTTAGTGTTCGGACGCGAATTTGGGGTCTTCGCATGCTTCGAAACAGATTCAACTAAGGGATGCCCAAAGAGAATCGATCGAGCTCTGCACGCCACCAGCCTCTACCAAGGCCCTGCCTCCACCACTCATTGTCTCTGATGCGTCCTGCCTGGACGTGGTGGAGCGCTTGCGAAGGCGAAGCGAAGCCCCCCCTTCAGCCCATCGCTTTCAGGTCTCCAGGTCTCGTGTCCACATGGCCCGTTGTGTCCACTGTTTCTGCAGGGTGAGAAGAAGAGACACAAAGCACTCAAGCCTTCATAAGACGTCCATTTGTTTTGGGGGGTTGTGGTATGTTGTGGTTGTTTGCCAGGCGACACGCACGAAACTCTTGAAACGCGCACACGGTCTAAAACTGAGCAGGTGAGGCTTCGACATACAAGCAGTGGGCGTCACAAAAACTGTGCGTTGCGTAAGGTTGCGTAATTTATGGTTGACATTGCAGTGTGCATGAGCACGATTATGCTGGACCGAAGTCTTTTGCAAGGTAAATCGAAATGTTCTTTGCCGTTGTTCCAGTGAAGCTATCTTTTCATCTCATTCCATCTCATCAATCTCATGTTTGTTGGAGAAAAATCACGTGAACATGTGCTGACCCCGAGCAGAAGCATCCCAGTCCACGCCATCCTTTGGTTGCTCCTTTTCCGCCTCTTCCGCGACAGCTTGGAGAGCGAGAACACGCCTGGGCGTGCCTCGCGGGAGATCTTCGTCGTGACCGAGCTTTTCGACTTCGACCCTGAAGGCACCGGGGAAGTGCAGAAAGCTGGTGACCGAAGGGGTGCAGAGGGGTGCTGCAATGTGTTGTCACGGCTCCTAGCTAAAGGCGACCTTAGTGTGTTGTTTGAGTGTTCGGAAGTGTTGAGGTGTTGGAAACACACACAGACATAGAAAATAAAGAAAGTATGTGTGATCCATGGTGATCCGGGTGTGATCTTTGGTAACACCTGAGGGTTGAGATCTTGAACCTTGAGACCCGTCCAGGCGCGGCTCGCTTGGGCGTGGCATCCCAGCGGCCCCACTGCATGACGCTCCGGACGGATCTGCGGCGGTTCCTGCAACACGCGGCGCCTTGACCGTCCTTCAGGGAGGAAGGTGGACGCGTTCAACGGGTCAGAAGGTTCGAAAAGGACAGACAACAGCTGAGCTTTCTAGGCGGTCATGGACTATAGACTTTTTGTTTCAATGTTTGCTGATGTTTAGGAACGAGAAGATGTCGGGTGTGGAGATTTCATGATTCGTAGGGAGCCTACATGGATACTTCACGAAACATCACAAGATGAAGTTTTGCCCTTTCATGCGACTGAAATGGGAAGCACACCCGGAGTCGTACCCGTTCGGAGCTTCCTGTTGACACCGGTGTTCGGCGTTGAGGCATCGCACATGAAACGGAAGCGACTCACGCTGCAAAAGAAGCTTGGTCTGAGAAGAGGAATCGATTTCTTCGATGTCCAACATGGCTTTGAAGAGGGATTTGTTTCTGGCTCCGACACTATTTACCTTCTGTGAATCTCTAATGAAATCCACGATGTATGTGAGAAGGATTCTGAGTTGTGGCTGTCGCCAGGCCTTGTCGCCTTTCGACGACTCCGTCCCACCAACACGGTCGTCACACGGTCACCCGTCGTAAAGCACCGTCGTCACCGAGGGTGCTTTGCGACCACAAGACGCCGCAGATCTTCTTGGCTGCTGATGTCGCCTGCCTTCGAGGATCCCAAGGCCCCGGCCACCACTGGGCGCCTTCCGAGAAATGTAACGTCTGTCCGTGACGAGTCGTCCCGGTCCCTCACGTTTGCCGACGTCCCCGTTGGAGAAAAAGCCATTGGAATGCGAAACAACAGTTGTAACAAGAAGACGGATGTCTCCGTCTCGGTGATGAACAGATGCGTCTGAAGCTGGCAGGTGATGGATATCCCTTTCTGAAGAGGCCGGTTTTTGGTGATTCCTTGGGCGAATTCCCCCGTCCGCTTACTGAGCTCACTGACTGAGGCCATTCCAACATCATGTTTTGGGTATGGCACTTTGGACTGCGCGGCCTCGCCTGCAAACTGCGCGATCCTTGACAAGCAATGGCGCCATAGGGTCAGATTGAGAAGCATCCGTCAGCACACTTGACTCTGTGTCCCTTTCGGACAAAGTGTGATTTATCCTGGATCAGCGGCATTCACTGGATTTAGCAGGGTTGTCATTTCAAGAGCTTTTCTGAGGAGACTCAAACGGGGAGCGCACGACCATGTACACGGACTCGGATGATGCCAAAGCAGTCGAGCCGCATTTAAACAACAATTTATCGTTTTTTCCTGGAATGAGTACAGTAATGACAGTGATCCTTTTGGAATTTACGTTGAGAAAACAAGTCACTACTCATTCCAGGAACCAAAGGCTATAGGTGCTGCCTTTAGTGCCCTACAGGCCTACGAAGTCCGCTTGGAGCTTTGTGCCCATGCAGCGCTTCTGGCGGCAGGCCTTCCAAAAGAGCTTGGGTCTGGGGCGAGGTTGTTGATGAAGACCTGATTTTTGGAACCTTGACTTGATAGGCAGAGCCATTGAGGAGACTGTCTGACATGGATCCTTTTGATGTTTTTGGTGTCGCAGGTGGTGTGGACCTGCCCAAAGAAGAGAAGCCTATTTTGGTGCTTCCGGTCGTGGGACTTGGAGGAAGCTCCTTTCATCCGCAGGACGCACTCCTGGGTCGGGTACGTGCGAACGGCTGTGCCCACTCCAAGTGAAGTGCCACTGCCAAATGTGATGGCTAATGCACTCTTGATTAGACCCACCCACTTGAATTGGAATTCCTCTTCATATGGGGGGAGTATTCATCAGTCCACATTTGTGTGATTTTAACATGCGAACCTTGGGCGATTGAGCAACGAGAGGCGGCGAGCCGGAGGCCTTATCGTGATTATCGTGGCTCCGTGCCCTTTTTGGACCCGCGAATTCGGGTCTGGGTTTTCTTGCCCTTTTTGGATCCGCACATTGGAATATATTGGCATCATGGAATCATTAGAAGCTTCTTTGCTCTTGAACAGCTCTCAGGCTCTCAGAGCAATCTATTGCTGAACTGAACTGAACTTGAGCGGGGACTCCTTATATGTAAGTCTAAGTCCTGTCATAAGGTTTGTGATCCGTGTGCGGCAGGATTCTATTGTTCTGTCGCTGAAGAGATTTCGTCGGCGATTTACGCAGTTCTTCCATTCGGTTTATGCAGCTTGGTCGCAGATTCTGGAGAAAGGTCGAGGGTAGTCATCATCTGGTGTACGCCTGTTTGATGGGATCCAACTCAGAGATCAAGAAAACTTGACGGAGGACCACGCGCCAAAAGTATATAGGAAAAGATGCCCATGGCATCCCATGGGCATGTTGCAAGTAGATTCGATGGACACCCAAAATCGCCGTCCTTTGCGAGCGTCTTTTAAAATGCGCCTGTGATAATCTGATAGGTCTTCGAAACCGCAGAGTAGGTAGTGATGTCAGGTAGATCAATGCAGCACCTGTCAGTTGAGGAACCTTTGCTTTCATATAGGAAAGCCTTCAGGTCAATGCGACCACCCCAGGTCCACAAGTCCATCCGAGATCGTTCCTCAGGTGTGTTGTGGAGACCGTGGTCCCAACTACTCCCTCTCTGATTTCATTGAATCGGCGGTGAATCGCAGCGCGCCACGGCCCGGGAACAACCCACCACGGGAAGCGCCGGGTCAGCGCCACGTCGTCGGTGGGAGAAGCGCCACCTTGGCGCTTAGCGACCGGGTCGGCACCCAAGGGCTGGCCAATCTTTGGGGAAACCGTTCACGATAATATACGCACCTTGTCGCGAACAAGGAGCAGATCGTCTCATCATGCGTAGGGACATCATTCTATACAGGAGGTGTTTTTTTAGTTTTGAGGCCGGAAATTGCTACTCTCAGATAGATTAGTCGCATCGGTTTGCACTAAATGTTGCCGTTACTTGCGTCGAAAGGTCTTCGGGAAGTCGCATAGGTCATATAGTAGGTGGCCACTAAAAGACTTTGGACCAATCATGACATGTGGGTTTTGGAGGGGACCCACCATGCCTTGGTAGAAAGAACAAAGCAAACACTGATCCATGGGGCTAGGCCAGGTTTGTTGGGGGCTGCTGGTTGGAGCTGATCACATTGAGCCCTTTGAGGTGTACATGATGGCCCAGAACGATTCTTTGGCCGCCAAAGCATTGCCTTGGCATTGGGATCAGAGGCGACATCAGTCACGGCGAGATGGTCTGGTCTTTCTTTTTGGACCTGGTGAGTCACGGCATGCCGTGGTGCATCACGGAAAGGGACTCTTTGGATGCTGGTGCTGGCGTTCTCGGTTCGGTTCTGTTTCTGTCTTCACCTCCAATCCCCGATGACATCGCGGTGGTGGACCAACACAGCTCGAACCACGTCCTTTTTCGCCGAACAACGGCAGGGAGCTGCAGATGAGCATCGCGGCTGCCCGGCTCGAGAAGATCGGCCACCACATGAGGCCTGGCCGCGCTTCTTGTTGTGATGCCGGAGGTGACTGAGAAGTCGCAAAATGGCTAAACCAGGAAACTAATTATGCGAATTATGGAGTCTTTAGTCAAGATGGGAGGAATGTACTTGGAGTAAGGACTTTGATGAAACAAAGAGATGAAGTCTTCGATGAAGTGTGAAGAAAGTCGCGGATGCGCTGTTTTTCTTTTCAAGACTTTCATTGTGGTGGTTTGGTACTGGTATGCCGTTGTCTTCGCACTTGACGACCGACATCAACTGATGTCAGGCAAGGTCCAACCTATGTTGTGACCAAGCTGAAATCAAGACGTGTTACCGTGGACCATCGACCGGTGCACGCATCTACATGTGCAACGACACTCAAAAGAAAACCTCAAGACGAACACAAGCCACCCTTTGGGCAAAGACGCGCGGCTTTTGCGCATGCTTTTGCAATCTGGACATGGCATGACTACACGGAAAAAAAGCTGGCAAACGGCTACACGAACTGCAAAAGATGGAGATAGATGGAGTTCAAATTTGGAAGTGGGTCAAAGCATGTTTATTAACCCCCTACTGCTCTGTGGGTCTGCACTGCTGTTTTCAAGGCTGAGATCGTTTCAGCCCAGGGCTTCTGAATGATCTTCGTTTGCGCATTCTCAGAGTCTGAACGTCTCAGAGTCTGAACTTCTCAGGTGAAGATCAAGGATGACCGGCGCAGCGCCGAACGGAAGAAGCTCACGGAGAAGGTCGAAGGTAGCCGGAGACCTCACCGCACCGGGACCGGGGACCGGGGAGGAGACCGGTCGACCGGACCCCCGTTTTGGGCCCACATGGCTGCGCACCATTGTCCTGAGATCCACACCATGTCATTCACCCACCATTATGTGAAAACAATTGAAAAAAACACACACACAAATGCATCCAACTGCCGGTACCAGGGCTTTATGTTAAGCTTGTATTTGGCAAAGCGATGTTCCTTCCAACTCTGGGTGATATTGACTCGACTCTGCTGTGCATCTTCACCATCCGTCACCACTGAACGGTCCCTTGTTCGGTCGCGGGCGCCGCAGTCCACCATGGCTTCGGGACCTTGCGAGCCTATCAACATCGGAAGCAGCTGCAGGCGGCTGAGGAGCTCATTAAGGCTTCGGTGAAACGGAGAGGAAGGAGAGGAACGAGCTGTAAATCTCTACTCCTAGTGAGTGAGTAATGAATTGTTCTAGAAACAATTCATTACTCATCCAAAAACCTGCAAAAACAACATCTCTTTCTTCGGGGCCGGGGCCGGGTCCGTTCTGGACTTACCAGGCACAACGCCGTCAGGGTGACTGGCCAGCTGCAGGGGCGCTTAGAAGGACCAGTGACCGTCAGGGACGCCCTTTGAGGCGCGACTTGCATGTGGCTCTTTCCCTGTCCGTCGCCGCTGTGAATCAGGCAAACTGACGTTGGAGGGGAAACGCCTTCAGCATCCGAAACGGAGTCATCTATTTCACGGTGATGATGTATCTTTGGCTTCGAATAATGTATTCTCCGGAGTTTCCAGGGCAAAGAAAGACCCAATTGGTGGGTGATGGATGGTGAATTGATGGACCTGCATGGATCCCTTGTGACATCCTGAAGGTGCCGCTAGACATCCTTTGTTTTCAGTTCTGTGCGCAAACTGATGGTTGATTGCATGAGGAGATCAACATGGACATAAACCGATTTGATATGGTTCGATCCTTTTTGTTTGTTTTCCGAAAACTGTTTCAAACCTTTTCGCTCATGGCAAGATGAGAAAAGGTCCTTGTTTCGGACACCCCCACACCAGAATAGACTAGACTTCACGTCGGTCGCACGGTTCTTCACCCGCCGTCACCGAGGATCACGTGCATGTGAAGCTGGGAGGCGCGGCACGGGAACTCCGTCGGTTCCGTTGCGCGAGCGCCATGTTGGGCTCGTTCCGCGTCACTTGGAGAGGTCGAGATCGAGCTCCCTTTTTGGAGCATTCAGAGCGATTTTTTAAAATGACTTTACTAGGCTCTTAGCGGCGTGGCCGTCTTCATCTGTCACGAGGTGTCATGGGCTGTCTTTGAACGGAAGTGGGGCCCGCAATGTGGGGCCTGAGCAGATTCCATGTGTTCACCAAACTTGGAAGACACATATGCTGGATGCTAAGCAGGAAGTCTTTGCCAACTCCTGGACTTCGAATCCAGAATGCCAGCACAAGCTCAACCCATCCATCATTCCATCTCGCATGTGGGCGGGCAACGAATGGCCGTATTTTTAGTCTCAGCCAAGAAGGATGTGCCGGGATGGTTACCATCTCTTCCCAAATATGTGACCACCCATGACCACCCACTGGTTGGATCTCTTCGTGCCTCATTGGGAGTGTTGATCGAAAAAGAGGCAGCTAGGAATGACAGCTTCCCACGGGCTCGCCGGTGCCGAGCGGGCCGAGCCAGTGCTTCGTCCAACCGAGCCGGTGCGCCGACCGAGCTGGGCGTGGAAGACTTCTTCCCCAACCGAGCTGGGTGTGACCGGGGTTTGGTGTCAAACCTTCCCCAGCTTCCCCAGCCATGTCGACGTTCGTTTCAGTGTTTCTCTCCCTCCTTGCGTCAGTGATTCCGCTCCCAGGCCTGCGCGACAACACGGAGCTGGCGCCCGAGTTCGAGAACACCAATCTGGCGGAACTGCGCCGGAAGAGCCTCGAGGAGCGGACGACCCGGATCCTCGGTCGACCCCGGGCGGACTTCGTGACTGGTACGGCCGGCATGGACTGCACTGGACGGGCGCGAGAACGCGATCCGTTCGGTGTTCGGTGTTAGGGTTCGTGCGGGTTCGGGGGTGGAAGGAGAGTGTTTTCCAGGCGACGTCGATATGGGGGGTGGTTGAGTCACGTTGAGGGCTTGGAGGCCCCTTTTCGATTCTTGAAAAGGAAGCAGCCAGTTACTGACTGTAAATCAGGAACCTCCTGTCCACTGATAATACTGATATTGATGATTCATTCGCGGTGATGAAGACCATCAGCTTCCTACAGTACTTTGCCGCCTTGCAGATCATCTGGTTCAGAATCACCTTCTTCCCACATGTTAACTCACAAAACAACCCCCCCTCAGGTCCGAACAATCACGCAAAACCGCCCGGGATCCGGCTGTCAGAGCGACCCGGGCGACCCGCGCGACCTCGTGCCAGCTGAAGATGTCCATGACGAAGATCGATTCGGAGATAGGCCCAGGAGGCGGCAGCTCTCCGAAGTCAGAGCCTCAAGATCCTCAAGTCATCCGGTGTTTTGGAGCTTCGGTCGGGTCATGAACCGAAGTTCATCAGCCCAGTCGGGATCACGAACCTGCATGCACTGACTGCAGTTGGGCTGAAAAAACCCAACAGTCCGTCTCTGATGGTCTCAAGATAACCCTCAGCAACCTTTGAGTTGTTGGGGGAATGTAGGAGAGAGACCCCTTTTGCTTCGAAGTGACAAGGGTTGGGGTTCACTGAAGAGATCAAGGGTTGAGTTGAGAATGGTCAAGATCAGAATATCAATGTTCTATAATGTTCTTCTCATTTTTTTTGAATCGGTTAATTTGATTGGGAACCCATGGCCTAAAACCACAGACTTGAGCGGAAAAACTATGAAAACATATGCTGTGTTTTCAATCAATTTCAGTAATTACCTTGTGATATGTTCGCAACAGCAAAGTAAAGCTAAGCCAATTGTTTTTAAGAATTGGATTTTTCCTTCGTAGACCGATGTTTGTATTCGTTTGCAGGTCACCATTGGCTAAAGACTTGGGACATTTGCAGGCACTCGTTCTGGGATGCTCTGGGTACTTTGATGTAATGTAGTTTGCTGACACAAAAGACAGAAAAGACAACCAGCTTTTTAGCGAGTCTTTCGTGTTTTTCGATGCAATTTCAGTACGTCTTTTGTCTTCATTGCTGAACTCACATGCACCAAAACCGACTCACCGGATTCCTTGAACCAGAATTCTCCAAACCGAGAGGACTTGATGCTCTCTGTGCGGCAGAGTTCCAAGACACGGAGCTTCCGTGCCGCTTGGCGGAAGTTCGTCGCCGGCGTGACCTGAGAAAGAGACGAGTCAGAGACGGCGAGAAAGACGGGCTGGCTCAAGACGGCTGGCACCCACCACCTGGTGAAACCACTCAACTGCTGGCGATCTTTCCATCCCTAAATGGGATCCCACATGGGATCCCAACCCCTTACTGCTATCTCAATCCTAAATGGGATCCCAAATGGGAGAGAAAGAGCATGAAAGAGCGTCAGGGCTGGCTGGAAAAAGCAGATCAGCTGGGAGCCTCAGAGCTGTTCGATCGGCCTCATGAGCCGCTCAGCGACAAAGATGTTGAGACTAGTAGATGTTATTGATCCATCAACTCTTAGTAGATGTTATTGGGCTCAGCTTAGCTGAGACGACTGGACCAACTTGGTAGATGTTATTAGATGTTTTTGGACCAACATCTCTGCCTGAGAACGAACTCTGTGCTGCACTTCAGGGTGACCCAACAATTGGGCACTGGCGGGCAAGTTCTCCTTCACGCCAAAAGGCACGGAAGCGCTTCAATTGCTTGCTACGTCACCATTGTATAGTTATGTTGTTATAGTCGGTATAGTTGTTTGTTTGACTAGTGCAACTCCCACAACACGAGATACACGAGATGAGGCACACACATCATTAATGATATATCATATTATGAGTCATTATGCATAAAACACTATTTATATATACATATGTGTGTGTTGCAGCAATCATGCACTACATGCTCCTCCAGCCCTAGTAAAACTAGATGCCGAATGAGCGCAGGAAGAGCTCTTTAGGCTCTTTTGGACCCGTACTTGTACTTATAAAACAAGTATAATCCATGAATCAAGTGGATCCGGTTCTGGATGTTCCCTTGCGGAATCGATGATCTCGTATTGTTTTGTATTTAGCGGTCTGCCGATACGGCGGCCGATACGCCTGCTTTCCGAGACTCTCTGAATGTGACGAAGCAACGCGTCTCGCAGGCGTAGCAGGAAGAGTTCGGTCACAGTAGAGGCGACGATTCAGATGACTGGGATGACTGGTCACAGTTCTTCAGAGAGAGAGAGAGAGAGCGCTATATATAGTTGAAACTAAAGTATATATGTACACCTGCAACTCCGTATAAGTCAAAGTTTTAACTTACATTGAGAAAATGAACTTATAGTACAATATTTCGAGAATTTCAACATTCATCGATTTTATACGATTTTTACCGACGTAGACTAGACTTCTCGAATTGTGGGGTTCTCGAGTGCTTCCCGAATTCTTGAGAACAAATCCATAGATCGTGGCCTTTGCCCGCATCAGGTGGATCGATGCAGGTCGTTCCACAGGTAACGGAGAATCATGGAGCAAGGTTTGAGTTGGGGTCGCCAGCCCCCTAAGATTCATGATCCAGGGTTGGCAGTACATACGTCCAGGTTGTTTTCCCACTCTGCGATCTTTTTCATCCACTGAACCCAATCTCCAAGATCCTCCAAGAGCTTGGATCCAAGCGAGAACGGTTCAACGAAGCAATCCCTTAATTTCAAGAGACATGAACACTTTCAAGACCAATCATGTCTATTTTTCTTTTCGCGCTCTTCCTCTTGGAGCTTTGCTCATGCCGTCTTTGCGGCATCGCGGGCAAGACCAAGCACCACAAGGTTCGCTTGACATGTGATTCTTTGTATGTACGATGTGCGTGACACATTCTATCCTGCAAATGTTTATGCAAGCCTTGCTGGCATGAATGTCAAATCTCTCAATTTTGAAATGCCAACCAACTATAGATCCAACGCTACAGGCTTTTGAGGTATCTTAGGATGCGAGGTTTTGCAGAGCTCACTCACTTGTGGAACGTTGCCGGCCCTCCTGCAAGCTGTCTTGAGCACAAAGCGGACATCTTTCGTGCTTGAAGGGCTTTGAAACATGGCGAGCCGGGTTGAGGTTCCTACACCCACGCCACCTGGATCAGTGCCTATGCGGGCATTGGTTCCAGCCCCACACAGTGTGAGCTCGCCAGCAAGCTCATGCGACAAAGTCTCTAACTACCCGTTGGAGAATTTACACCTGGAGTGGGACAACATTCCAGAAGTGAGGAACCGCCTTCGAAATGGCCAGCACCTATTTTTGCACTTTGATGAGAAGACCGGTGCCCTGACAAACCACCCAGTGGAAAAAACACTCCAAAATGTCAGGCAGAACCGGAAACAACTGGCTCCGGTGAATCGTCGTGTGAGAGATCAAAGCCTCCAACTGCCCAACATAGACAACATCATAGAAGAGATGCGGCTTCTGTACAGGGCTTCCAAGGTGGATTGCACGCATGACACTCTGTACCATGAAAGCTGGGCATGCCGTCGGTTGTTGTCTTTGGGCAAGAACACTCTCCTTCACCGCAAGTACTTGTCGGAGGACGGGTCTGCTAACTATATCCTTTGCGGATCAATGTGTGTTTTCAATGCATGCATGCAGGCATGTACAAGTGCATCCACATCACACAACGTGCTGCGATAGAATGGAACGAGTTTCATTTGTTTCATGTGACACGTGCAGCCTGTTGTCATACTATATACATGGCAGGACGACCACGAGCTTCTTGAAGTTGCGGCTGACTTGGGCATTGAGATCCCCCTCAAAAGGAAAGAAAGCCGCACTTCGCTTGGTCAGGAGTATCCTATCATGGATCGTCCCGAGGAGTTCGAGCAAGATGAACTCATGTCTTCCGGGACAACACCTGCCATTACGCCAGTGGCGTCTCCAAGAGCCGGACCATTGCCAGAAGACCCACTCGAAGTGAAGAAACTGATTCGGGCATCTTCAGTCCCTCTGTTTTCTGCGCCAGAGCCAGACTCAGCACGAGAGGCTGACAGTGTTCATGATGAAGCAGGTGCAGCTGATGCTTCTGCGAGCAGTGATGGTCGCCGACAGCTTATCCTAGAGGAGCTCCAAGCTTGCGTTTTCAAACCTTACGCCAACCAGGTTAGAGTCATCAGACCAACACTGATTACGCGGTCCTTTCGTCAGATGACCTTGGATGAGTTCCTTATCTTTGTCTCCTGTGAGGAGCCTCGCAGTGATTCTTTGGGTGAAGGACCCACTGAGCACCCTCTGCCAGAGCAGAAGGCCTGCCATGTTCCACACAGAAACAACAATCAGAGTCAAACCTGGTGGAACGCGACCTGTAGTCCATATACACAGAATGTTGTGCTTCTGTGAACGCTTGCCCACACATGCACGGTTATACACACATGTTCATCATGTATTTAGATCTCGTGCAGGCGGCTGTGGCCAAGAGCCCACTCGTCATCTTTGACTCGGACGACGAAGACCACCAGAAGCCCCCCGATGCTTTGGAACATGAGCTGATGGAGGTTTTGGAAGCTATTGAGGCTTTGGAGTTCCCTGGCCAGTCTAGACGCAAACAAGCATGAAAGCAAAATTAGTGGATCTCATGCGAAGTCTTGTATGGGCGGATTAAGTTGCAATGTTTTGTGCATGCGTGCGTGCTTGCATGAGTTTGGATTGTTGAAGCAACCTGCGACCGCACGAGTTTGTCCTCCAAGGTCGAACCAGGAATCAACTCCATTGACGCCGGAGATGAAGCTTCCTGCACCAACTCCGGATGGCAAAGCGGAAGCAAAGAGTGCTTTGGCCGTACAAAATAAATCTGTTTCCTTCCTACTCACCAAAGAAACCACACCTGCCCCTGAAATTGTTCTGGCTATATGACATAGACTGGCAAACTCTATACATTCAAATGCCAGTGCATAAGTCACCTCGATCAATACATGGTTTTGTGTGGCCTAGGCTCTCCGCCTACCTTTGTGCATGATTCTTTGCCTGCGGCCTCGGACAACGTGGAGACCCAACTTTACGTTCCAGTGGAGGAGTTTGCAAACACTACGACTGTGAAAGCCATGTTGCGGTCTGAGGATGAGAACCACAAGGCTGTGCATTCAAAGGAGGGGTTTACACATGAAAGCATGCATGGACAAAGGTCTGTGTTTCATGGTCTTGTCTCTCCTTGTTGTGCTCAAAGGAACATTGGTTGACAGAGTCGTTTACACGCCAATGAGTTTTGTGGATCCACACCTTTCTCAGAATTCATATATCCTCTATACACTTCGATTGGCGCTAAGGTCCAGTATGGGTGAAACTATATTCCACATCATGTGTCCATTCACGGACTTACTGACAGTTGTGGATGACACTCAAAAAACACACGATTCGACAGCTGGCGCAATGCTTTGGGTGGTCTTGCAGGGTTTTGGGGGGAGCCAACAATGGCTCCACCACGGCATATATAAAAACAAATCCAGTCAGCGATGGTCGATGGTGGTCACCAATCAAAGAATATAAAACATGCAACGCACAGAAACATTATTATAGCGACCTTGTTTATGATTTTTAATATAGTGCACGCTCATGCGCATATAGCTTTTATAATTGGCAAAGGCTCTTGAATGCATTGAAGGAGGGAGCCCTGACATGGCCTTCGCTGCCTGAACATCCTCCCATCACTCGCCGTCAGCAATTTGGTCTCAGAGATGAAATCAAAGAAGCCAAGGACGAAGAAAAGAAGAACAAGAAACAACAGGCTGTAGAAGAGAAGGAGGTTGAAAACGAGAAGAATGGTGGGAAGCAGTGCGCAGCGAAGAAGCGTGCAGCGAAGAAGTGCGCAGCGACTGAGGCACCTGAGAAGCCTCCTGCCAAAGTCATCAAGTCTGCTAGCATGAAAAATCCCAAAAAGATCAAAAAGAGTCCAGCCGGCAAAAAGTTGCGCGGCCTTCGCAAGCAGAAGACAATGGCTCAAAGTGGCTGGGAACCTCTCGAGCAGCCACCTCTAGAGGATGGGGTGGATGTGGAGGAAGAGGAGGCAGAGGAAGAATACGAGCAAGACTCGCAGCCACCAAAAGAATGCGCTGCGGATAGCGCAGAGCGGGAATCAAAAGGTGATGAGATGGCTTCATCTTCCAAGGGGCCGATCTTAAGGAAGAAGAATTCGGGAAAAAACAAGAAGGGAAAGAACAGTCGGAAAAAGGCAGCAAAAGTTGAAGATGGCAAAAGGGCAGCCAAGGAAAAGTCAAGCAAGCCAGCAAAGGGTGAGTCAGAAGGTGTCCAGGAGCTTCCTGACTTTGCCTACTGGTATGCATGCATCACTCAGATGGTGGAAGAATGCTGTGACACTGATTGTTTGCATCCAGATGCCGGAGAAGAGAGATGCCCTCCAAATTTCCAAGTCTCGTGCTACTGGACAAGGCATGCCGCAGGAGTCAAGGCATCGAATGCCATCTTGCAGGACCTCAAAACCGGAAAGAAGAATAAGAAGGCAGCGCGTGCGGCTAAGCCCAAGTCGCAACAGAAGGTTTACAAGTCCAAGGACTTTCGCCAAGTTGCTTACTTTTCTCATGGTGGCTGTGTCTATGTCAACGTCAAATTGGCCTCGCTTTTTGCCCTTTGGTTGCACGCTGGTGAAACCTATAGTAGACTGTGCATGCGTGCATGCGTGTGCATATACAGAAATTGATCCACAAGCGACCTGGACCACCCCTTTTGGTCCTCCATCTGTCATCCCAGGCACAGAAGCTGGCGGACTGCGACAGCCTGACCAAGGAGTCTGCAAAAAAGCTCGAGAAAGACTTGAAATCGGTCCAGGAACTCGTTTTTCGTGATTGGGGATACTCGGTGAAGGGCTGCGAGTGCGACAGGGTGTTCAAATGAGCAGTCAGCGCTGAAGGTATATAAGAAAAATAAACAATCAAAACTATATACAGTATAATCAAAACAAGCATTTCCCTTTTGCATGATGTTTTCGTATATCTTCGCACCGTGGTTTAGTTTTATGTTGGCTGCCCAAATGAGCACCGCGCTTTCCCTTGCCAATTTAAAGCTTCGCTGCTCATTGAAACATGATGCAGCCAGCCTTGGTGATGTGGGGATCGCATGATGCACCGCATCGTGCGCTTTTGGGGGATCGATTGCTATATCGATCACAATCGCTCTCATTGCTCTGGTGCACCGTGCATGCA